CCCCTGTTTATATTAGTGCTTGGAAGGAAGGTGTGTAGTGTGTGGTCGTCTCATCACACTACAGAGGTTCCATCAGTGACCATGGCTTGTGCAGAAGCTTTTGACCACGCAACTAATTCCCCAGGTCCGGCTACCACCATATATCCCAGGTTTCGCCTCTTACAACTTTTTCCTCTATCCAAATATCAAACCCCACTTAAAAGGAACAAGATTTCAAGACATCGAGGAAATCCAAGAGAATGCGACGAGGTAGCTGCTCAAAAAAGAGTTCCAGGAGTTCTTCCAGCAATGGAAACGAAGTTGGATGAAGTGCGTGGCTTCAGAAGGGAACTAATTCGAAGGAGATTATATGCCGAATTGATATATGTTGTAGTTTTTTTTTTATTTATTTTTTTTTGTATGTGTTTTTATAGAACCAGTCCCGATAGTTTTTCATGAGACCTTGTATATTTAAAATATTTTTATATAAAAAATAAAAATAAAAAAAATTAAATAAAAAATAACATACCCTATAATAACTAATACAACCATTCTTGCCTGGGTCCTGATGAGAGAAATTACGAAACTCTGAGTCGAATCAACTCTCTTCCTCATCTCAGCGGTGTTTGTCCGTCATTCACATACCATTTAAGAGGTCAGATATAACATTGAAGTTCAGTATTTCCTTTGTTTCTTGCGGCAGTTTCTTAATACTTCGTTTAGTTTCTGGTAGATACAATGGCGGATTGACCAGGGTTTCAGCTTGCCCGATGGCAACTGGGCCCCTTATGTAGCGGGGCCCCTACATAAAATAAAAATTGCAATAAAGAAACAGGCAAGTATTTTTAGTAATAAAAGAACTTTATAAAGTCATCAGCAAAGAATAGTATATAGAATATATCTACGGCTCACAGACCGACTGCTTGATAAATATAACCTCCCTCGTCACATATCTTGTCCGTACTACACTATACTGAGAGTTAACTCAACAATTTGAACAAGGCCAGCACGCTGAAATCGACTATGGTGAGATTCGAACCTGGGTCGCATGGTCAGAATGCGAACGTTCTAACCATTCGGCCACGTGCCTAAATAAGAAGGATCACTTATGAAAAAAAAAAGGTACATCTGTTTAAACTTGACGTTCTCAGTATGTAACTCCCACCTTGGGATATATCTTTTGCTTATTTTTCGCACAGGATATTTTTAATTACAACCTGGTATAATGCGTCCTGGGTATGACGATAAACTACATCCAGCAGCAAGGCCTCTGATCGGGAGGTTTTGAGGAACATTGAGCGACCTCTTCATTGCTGTTGTTTTCAGGTCCACCCTGACACATGTTGGTAGCATCTGTTAGGGACCCAAATAGGCAAACTGTAGTCTTTATTAGAGAAATTATAATAATACATTTTTATAGTAAAAAAATACCAGTAATACATTTGTATAAAAGAAATTGCTAATGCTCCCAAGACAACTAAATTTCGGCATTTAATGATCCATAAGGATGTTGATATGCCGCTAAAAAATCAAACAAACCTGGTGTCCTATCGTAATATCTGGAAAGGATTTTTAGGCCCTTTTGTTTCGCTTTTGGTTTTTTGTTGAATTTTATGAAGTGGGAGCAATTGTTTCCAGTGTTTACTCTTCTGATAACTAGAGCCCGAATACTCGGTAAAAATAATACCTCGCTTCTTTTATTTTAAGAATAAAAACGCTGGTTAATAATACTCGAGAACAGGTTAAACGCGATGGAAGAGTTAAGTTTGAATATTCGGAAAGTGTTCTAACAGATGATGGATATCCGGAGGCGATTTAGTAAAAGATGTCTTCTTTCAAAAACTAAGCAAAACATTACGAAACAAGAAGATTCCTCTGGAAACAAAGAAAGGAGTACTTCACTGTAACATCAGTTTTCCATTATGAAAATGAATGCTGGGTAATTTCCTAACAGATGAAGAGGAGACTAGAGGCAACAGAAATGTGGTGCTGTAGTGGGATGCTGAGAATAACATGAACGGAACATGTAAGCAGGAAGCAGGTTATGAGGAAAATCGAAAATAAAAGGGCAATTATGTACAAAATCAGAAAAAAAACGGAATTGAAATGTCTTGTACACATAATAAGGAGAGACGACATGGAAAGTTTGACACACGCGGAATATTGAAGGTAAGAAAGGCAACAAGAAAACTAACTGACGAGCTTATGTAAATGGATGGTAGAAAAGAACTACGAAGAATAGGAAGTTGTGGAGAGCCATACTTGTTCACGCCCTGAATAGAGACGATATAAAAAGGTCATGTCAGAAGAAAACGCAGTGACATATAATATGAATATATTTGTTACAAATATACAAAAACCTATGTGTATTCGCACACATTCGTCTAAACACACACACGTACACACGTACACACACACACACACACACATATATATATATATATATATATATATATATCAACATCAAGTGCCTTGAGGAGATAGTCGGTCAAGAGGGTGGCTGCTGGAAGACCGTATATCGGACAACAGGACTCTGCACCATGCCACGCAAACAGGAGAACCCAGTCATGGCTGTCAGACAATTTCTGCGACCATATCACCTCTAACATCTGGCCACATAACTCCCCAGACTGCAATCTCTTTAATTATGTGTGAGAGCAGTTGAGTGGGAGAACAACAAAAGTCCTTGTAACACTAAATATGAACTGAAGGTAAGGATTACGACAGCATTCACCAACATAAAAAAGGAGACCGTCCAGAAAAGTTGCAGGAGATCCTGAAGTCGCCTGGACGCTGTGGTAGAAGCCAACGGAGATCTTTGTGCAATTTTGGTAAATATATCTGTTAAAATGAGATGGCAGTTTTATTTTCATTTTTGCGTAATTTAGATGGCAATTTATCCATCTCACCTTGTATATATATATATATATATATATATATATATATATATATATATTTGTGTGTGCGTGTGTATGTGTCTGGTATGTATATTAGTGAGTGGTTGTGCACGCGTGCGTAACCATCCCAATAAAGTCAGCTACACAAGTGTATATTTTGCTTGCTTATCGGAGTGTAAATTCTAGCTTGCAAAGGGCAATGTAAGTAATTGTCAAAATGTAAATAAATATTTGTTTTTCATCAGCGCCTTTTGCCTATCTGTGTTCTTGCTGCTCTAAACGCATGATAGAAAAACACACACACACACACACACACACACACACACACATATATATATATATATATATATATATATATATATATATATATGGTATTATGATTGGTATTTATCTTAAAGGTTAAAAACACGTAAAATGAAATAGATGAACATATCCAATTGCAAGAATACTCGGTTAGGGTCACGTTCAAGTCATTACCCTGAGGAAAGGCATGAATCCTCACCTCCCTGTCGATTAGTTTATGGATGATCTCCATGTACAACCATTCATTTTTTTATGTGTACAGGGGAAAATCAATCACATTTGACCAAGGAAGCCCAAGGATATATATTCGATTGTAAATATTGTAAAGTAAAATATAAAATTTCAATAACTGTAGTGCATTTACTGTTATATTTCATTCATTCTACAGGCTCATCTTACTACCAAAAGATCAAATTTGGATTCGTCTGTCCGCAAGACATTTTTCCAAAATGCTGGTTTACACCTAATTTGAAAAGAATTCATATTTCAACAAAACAACGACACAAAACGCTCTTCTAAATTATGTCAAAATGACATCGAGTCTAAAAAAGGAACAACATTTTGGCTTGTCCGCCTCAGTCCCCTGACCAATAGCCAAATGAATTAGTATAGGATAAAGTGGAGAGGAGAGTTCGAAAAGAATACCTAAAGAGTGAGAGTGAGCTTTTTTGGTTCTTGAAGAATGACTGGGAACGTCCGTCATCTACTTTTTCCAAAAACTGTTGTAAAGAATACCAAACATTTGTTAAGCAATAATTAAGGTAGGTGGTGCTTTTATTGACAATAAATAAATAAATATGGTGTGCTATGATAAACATTTATAGATAAGTGCTTATTTGGGTCAAAACAAAAGCAAATGCACTGATTTTTTATTTGTTATTTATATATTTTCCAATGTCGAAGAACTGTGAGCCACATAAGCCATCATAAATGATTATTTGTTTTTTTTAACTATATCAGTTTCATCGATTTTTCAGATATCGTGTCTTCACGCGTCATTTTTCAACTATCGTTTCTTCGTGCTGTTGTAACGTGTTATTTTTATTTGTGATATTTATCTTCTAAGTTGTCTGTTTCTAAAACTGATGCCATTTTTACTCATTCTGTGTTTTTGTTTCATATGATTAATCCTTATATTATTTGTGGTCGTTTTATTTATAGATTATGGGCTGTAAAATTTTTGTGTTATTGGTTAGGATTTGTTGGAGTTCTTGCTGCTTTTTGTTGTTGCAATTGTTGCTATGCGCGATTTGATTGCACTATTATCAGTATTATAAATGATATGTTAATTGGAGTGATAAACTATTGGTCGTGTAATCAATGACTAACTTGTCTGAATTATCATTTGAACGATATATTATACAACGCCTAAAATGCGATATTTCATTAGGGATTTCAAATCCCAAATGTGCATGTCCTTTGCCATAACTATTACTAGAAAGATATGGTTTGAATTCAGAGTTTCATCATTTAGATTGCATCTAGCTCAAGGTAATAAAGAAACAGACTTTCCTGCTATTTAACCAATAGCTGGAGGAAGCTAAATTTCTATTTTAAAAAAATGAATCCAAAATGCCGAAACAGAATCAACCACAATTTGAATTAGATTGAGTTTATATATATATATATATATATATATATATATATATATATATATATATGGAGAGACATATATTTCGTCTGTTCATTATCTATCTATCGTCTGCTCATTATCTATCGATTTATCGTCTGCACATTATCTATGTATCTATCTATCTCTCTATCAATTGTCTTCTCATTATCTGTCTATCTATCTATCTCTCTATCGTCTGCACATTATCCATGTATCTATCTATCTCTCTATCTATTGTCATCACATTATCTGTCTATCTATCGTCTGCACATTATTTATGCATATATCTATCTCTCTATCTATTGTCTTCTCATTATCTATCTATCTATCTCTATATCGTCTGCACATTATCTATGTATCTATCTATCTCTCTATCTATTGTAATCTCATTATCTATCTATCTATCTATCTCTCTATCGTCTGCACATTATCTATCTATTTATCTATCTTGTGCTCATTATCTATCTATCTCAATCTTTCATTACTATCAATCTCTCTATTATATTTCAATATATCTATTTTAATCTTTCTTTGTGAATCTACTTATCTATCTTCCATTTTTCTCTTGCTCTCTCTATACACACACACACACACACACACACACACACACACACATATATATATATATATATATATATATATATATATATATATATATATATATATATATAATCATGTGCGTATGTGTGTAAAAATTCAGATATAACTAAAATACATATGGAAAAAAAGACTATATGAATAAAGACAAAAGAAAATTTAATAACAGCCGCTGCGTTTCGTCCTCTGATAGTCTTTTCTCGAGGCAAATATCATTTGACTAGAAAAAGGTGGAAACGCGTCGGCTAAGATAAATTTCCCATTTTCTAAAAAGCGCAAATATTTAGCCGACCGAGCTTTGTGCAATATCCTAAACGTTAAACTTTAACATTTTTAGAAGCTGTTCATATCAAGCTTCATGAACCGAATTTGCGGACGCAGAAGGAGAACATTCCTCATTCTCTTTGTCTCATGGGTGGTACGATGTTTTTCTTTTTTCTATTTTATACTCACTGGGAGCTTATTTACATCGATTTATTCTTTTAGTAATAAATTTATTTTAAGTCGTGGCTGCCAACTTAACCCACATACACTTTTTCAGTTCCGCCATTTATTTATTTATTTATTTTGTATGTTTGGAGTTTTCCAACGAATCTTTCTGAAAAAAATATTGGACGGAAATGTTCCTTTTAAAGAAAACGAATGCGATTTCATCATTTTTAATAAAATATATAAATTCTATGGTATGAAACCTTCTTTTTTAAATATACACATGATGTATCAAAAATACTTTTACAAAATTTGGGGCGAGTTCCTGACAAGGTAAAATCTCCTTATAAACATATGACCAATAGGCCATCGTTGTATCTCAACACAGCAATTCGTAACAAATGTTCAAAATATCCCACGCTTTCTTCTCACATGCATACACCCGTTGAATCATTCATTGGCAGACACTTTCAAATACTTCCGCACGGTGTCGAATGGTTTCGCATGCCTCCATGGCATTAATTAAGCGTCTCTGAATTATTAATATCTACTGTATAAACCAATTCTTTTATGTGGCCCCAGAGATAAAAAATCCAAAAGAGTGCGGTCAGATGACTGTACAGGCCATGGAAGTAGTTTTTTCCTATCTATCTGTCATGGTAGATGTCAGCCAGTGTATCGCGAATAATATGACTAAAATGTGCTGGAGCCCCATCATACATGAAGCACATGCGTCTTCGTATTAGCAGGAGTACATCCTCTAGCAGGTCTGGAAGTGTGTTCAAAATAAGGTCCCTGTAGACAGCTCATGTAAGACGTGCTGGAAGGTGACTGTTTGGTAGGTTCCTACCAGACAGTCACCCACAATTCCAGCCTGTACATTAACCGTAAACTTATTCTGGTGTCTAGAATCCGCTCACAAATATTGGTTGTGTAAATTTGTTATTCCTTCTCTTCCAAATGTTGCTTCATCCGGAAACAAGACTGAAGAGACAAACAACAGATCTGCAGTTAGCGCAATAAACCACCGGCAAAAGTTCTCTCGTGGTGACTGATCAGAGGGCGAAAGACCCTGCACATGTTGCAAATGATACGGATACATGAGCTGCTCTTGAGGTACCTCCCATGCTGTATCATGGGATGTTCGACATGCTAGTAACACTTGAGGTGTGCTGATACCTGGATCGACTCCGACAGCCTGTAGAATCCCCTCTTCGTGGCCAGGGGCACGAGCGGACCTCGGTCTTTCTCGATCCATAGTGTGTGGTGACATGGATCATGTGTCAGTGAATATAAACAGCAGCAAAGGTCGGATGACTCGGCTGCCTTTGGTCTGGAAACGAAATCTGATACAGCCGTGCAACCTTGCGTCCATTACAATTCACGCAGCAGTATGTAAAAATCATATCTGCCTTCTCACGATATGAATATCCTGCCAATGTTAAACAGAACACTTCTCAGTTAACTCTCTACTACACACGTTAAATTTTGAAGAGAGACTAGCAAAAAATGTACACGAATGACAAATGTAATCTAGTCTAAATTATAAGATAGACCCATCTACCGTAAACTTCCTTGAAACTTAACGCAAAAACGAAGGACTTGTGGACATATGTTTATATGAACTTTTGTCCTTGTTTTGGTGTGGAACACCCTCCCCAAAGTTTGTAAAAGTATTTTTGATACACCTTGTATGTGCGTGTGTATCGTTCTACTTTTGCATGTGCATGCTCGTGTGCGTGGGTGTGTGTTTATACAACTTATTTGCTTCAATATCTCGCCTCTATACGCTTTAAATATCTAGTTAAAAATAAAACTATTCCCAGACGTTAGTTTCGCAAATAGTACCTCTACAGAAGCAATGAAATAGGCAAACTTATTATGTCAATAGAATGAGGCAGTATTTGCAACCAACGATGTAAAAACAAATACACAAAAAAAAACAATGGTCTTATGTCTTACCTAGGTTTAAGGGGATGTGCAAAATAGATATTGTTAGCTGAGAGGCTGTCCAATACTCTGCATTTTAAAGAAAACGTGTGTCACAAGGACATAGCGTCTTCGACGACGAGTAAAACAAACAAAATAAAAACTGTTGACTAGGAAAATAAATTCGCCCCCAAATGATTCATCGCAAGCTATTTCGTTCACATCACATGAGATGTGCAGCAGTCAAAGGAGACGGAGGATTGTGGGCTCGGTCGGAGCATGTCGTAGATGTCGGGCTTAATGGAGCCTTAACACCGTTAGAACACTCGGAAGACAGCAACTATTGCTGTTGTGTTTGGTATAATAACAAACTTCTCTCTCTCTCTCTCTGTAACTCTCTCTCTCTCTCTAACTCTATCTCTCTCTAACTCTCTTTCTCCCACACTCTCTCTCCCTCCCGTTTCCATTCGGCGTTCGTCTCTCCTTCTCATTCCTTTTAATTTTCGCTGTTGCTTGAAAAATCAAAATAATACAACACAGGAAATTCGCCCGCGTGGGTTAAGTTTTCGTTATTACACACTCCAAGGGGTTATTTATTTTAACACACCCACACAACACACACACACACTCGTATATATATATATATATATATTCACATATATATATATATATATATATATATATATGAGTGTGTGTGTGTAATATATATATATATAAGATTGATATATGCATGAAACTACGATTAGCATCATGCGGCGAGGAACAAATATATAATTATTTTTAGTGTATACATGCATACACACACACACACACACACACACACATATATATATATATACTTACTTACATATACACGAGGTGTAACAGCGAAATTGTCGAAATCGTGTGACACCAAAATTATCAATTTGTTAGGTTAAGCTCTGAAAATTTGTATCTTAGAAATGATTAAAGATATCTAACTAGAATTCTCCGTGGTTTTTATAACACTATTCGAATCTACATCGAGCAGTAATAATTTATAATTACACTGCAAGCTAAAACGAAATATTATAATGAAATCGATCATAAATGACATGTTCATGTGAATTAATCATAGCTATGGATTGGAACCTCATGAAGGACTGATATAAAGTTCAAAAATATATATATATATATATATATATATATATATATATATATATATATAAATATATTATTCCAGGATCATTTTCCAACTTATCCAAGATGACCTTCGCCCTCTCTAACCTTTTAGATTTCTATCGTGGGGTAACAAGGTGTTTCAAACGTTTCACGTACGACTTCCTTTTCAGGTCTTTTTCACTGCTCTTTGGGCTGTAATAGCTGAAATTTCTCTCTCCCATGCCAAACGTCTTATGGATTGAGTTGTCTCTTTTTTAAAGGATCTATTTAGCTCTAAGATGAAATAAGGACCCCTCTTGCCGTTGTAACCTCCTGATTACAGTTTTCCTCTCTACTGTTCCGTCTTTTTAAACTCATTCAAAGTTCTCTTGTTGGTTCTTGAATGGACTTTAAAGATGGAATCCAGCGTATGAATATTGGTACCATTACTAAAGGCCTGAATGATTACTTTTCTCTCGCCATTGCTTAGTTGAGAAGACAGTGGGGCTTTCACAAAACAATTTTAAACTATTCTTTTTCTAACTGAATAACTCAAAGGTCTTTTTCAGTGATTCTTACGACAAATGGTATCAAGATGGCTAATAGTCTTATATGAAAACCTGGAAAAAAAATTTTAGTAGTTTTGTCGATATTAGACATTTTGTGAGATGGGCAATTATATACATCCTGTATATGAAAAGATTTTTAGTGCCAATGAATGTTAAGGTACCTCTCGTCCAATGTTTCGTCATGAAAAAACGTCGGAATCGTTCCCACTTAATTTCTTAATTTTATTGCAAGGAAATTTGTTTCCTTTTTCTTACCTTAAAATTTCTATTTTTAATCGAGACGATACTTTTGTATCCGACATTTGATTAATAAAAATGTTCCCTGTTTTCAGATATATATATATATATATATATATATATATATATATATATATATATATATATATATATCTGAAAAAACAGGAACAAAAAGTTTAAAATTGTAATTTACATATACTTTGATATGGAAAAATAATTTTACTTACTATGAGTAATTTTCCTTCTGTTATAAAGTAATATAGTCTATTAAAACTAAACAATGAAAATATTTTAAAATTTTAAAGTTGTAATTTTGAAATTATAATTAAAATTGTATTTAAATTGAATGAATTCTAACCTAAATTTCTTTTAAATAATACTACACGCACTAAAAAAGAATCCCAAAAAAACACCTATAGTAAAATAAAATTAATATGAAATGCTTTTGAATGACCCATGTCCTTTTGTACTTACATGAGAAACATTATATTACTAGGTTTATATATAAAATAAAAAGTTTACTAAATCAGTGAAATTAAGTAACCATTTTTTTGCCGTCATAGTCATAAATTTAAAAAAAAAAAAAATGTAACCTCATATACATACTTAAACTTGATGTTAAAATAATCCTACATAATATAATGGATTCTAAAACATTTAACGGTTCTTAAAAAAGAATATAGTATAATAAAAATTAAAAAGGAGAATATTTCAAATCGTAGTTAAATAAAAAAGTATTATGATCAAAAACCCCGAAAATCTTTAAATTTATAAAGAAAAAAAATGACGTTGAAATTTTTTACCGTTAACAATGATTTTTTTTAAATCCAGACGACATCCATTCAACTGATGTCAGGTTTCATTATAAAATACATCCCTACCCTTACCAAATTGTAGCTAATAACTGATACAATGATACTGACATAAGGAAAATCTAGACATCACTTGTTCAATTTAAGTAGAATATTCTGTAACCATGGAAACGTGATTTTAGCTGTGTCTTTAAAACCCGGTAATTTTTAAAAGTTACTCCAAAATTCGCTTGAAGATGAAATGGAACTAATGCTTTTAATTTAATTGCAAAATTAAATTCAGGGTTTTAGCTTCTATTTTGAAACATGGTTGAACTGTGTAGCAAAAAAAAAAACATATTTTAAATCAATTAATTTATATATATATATATATATATATATATATATATATATATATATATTATGAAATGGACAAAGTCAGACAATTATTTAAAGACCGATTTCGCTACAGAGGAGCGTTTCGGTTAAAAGATCGATTTTACTGTTTTTAAACTACAATTTTCCATGATTTTCTCACGTACATTCATATCCGCTCGATGCGTATCCAAATATAATTATGAAATGGACAAAGTCCGACAATTATTTTAAGACATTTTTTTTTATTTTTATACATTCTTTTTTATAGATACAAATATTTAAGTAAATGCACTGTTTATAATAAACAGTATTAACAACATTTACCGACATGAATGTCCGAAAAATTGTCATAGAAATCAGTAAAAGCACGTCAGGTTGTATGACAGTTCCGTATAGGATGCAGGTTCGAATCCTGTCAAAGAACGAATATTTTCTATGAAAATTCTCGGATATTCAGGCCGGTAAATGTTATTTAATACTGTTTATCTTAAACAGAGCATTTGCTTAAATACTTGTATCTATAAAAATAACAACGTTAAACATGAAAATGTCTTTAATAAATAAATCGTCGACCTTGTCCATTTCTTAATATATGACGTCATTTGTTTACATTTGATACGCCAGAGCAGTTATGAATGTACGAGATTCATTGAAGATTGAAGTTTATAAGCAGTAAATTCGACCTTGTCTACCGAAAAGGTTCTTTTAAAAGCCTAGAGGTAAGGCACGTCAGCGTATATGACGGTTCCGTATAGGATGCAGGTTCGAATCCTGTCAAAGAACGAATATTTTCTATGAAAATTCTCGGATATTCAGGCCGGTAAATGTTATTTAATACTGTTTATCTTAAACAGAGCATTTGCTTAAATACTTGTATCTATAAAAATAACAACGTTAAACATGAAAATGTCTTTAATATATATATATATATATATATATATATATATTGTTGACTATGTTTGCTGTAGTCTTTGAATATAGAATCCAGTGCAGTACGTAATGTGTTCAATGGAACAACGCCAATATCACTAGTAGCAGCTGTTAAGTAATTCATCAGGTCTTCGATATCAGAGGTTGGCAGTGAAGATATTTTTGGAGAAAAAACAAAATGGCTGCCTTTATACACGTCGGATTGAATATTTTGAGCTTTCTGATTGGTTAACCATTCTCTTGGTGGAATATAAAATGAGTCATTTTGGTTGGCTCACTAGCACATATAAGTATCCAAAAACTGCAATATATATATATATATATATATATATATATATATATATATATATATATATATATATATATATGGGAATTTGTGAAAGGGAGATAACTAAGACATCCGGTAGAAGCATGGAACGTGGAGCGAAAAAATCTAGCACGGCGGACGAAATGTAGGGTTCAGTTAAAAAATCTTATCATTCCGAATCCTTTGCACTCTCTTCAAATTGACACTCTGACATTTTCGTATTGTAGCTTCTGGCGCAAATGCCAAACAGTACAGCATTTACTTCCAAATTTTTGGTGGACTGAATTGCGTCACGATGCTCCTTTCCCACAGACGGCGCCCGACTGATATTAACATACTTGCAGTCGACAAAATAAAAATCAATCAACGCATGTGCACGAAATTAAATATAAAATGGCGCACTTTACCCATCCTTTCGCACACACACAATATATATATATATATATATATATATATATATATATATATATATATATATATGTGTGTGTGTGTGTGTGTGTGTGTGTGTGTGTGTGTGTGTGTGTTTATGTGTATGTGTGTGTGGGTCTGCGTGTGTGTCTGTGTGTATTGTTAATTTCTAAGTACTTCAATTTATTTTCTAATCTCTTTGCTGGGGCGTCTGATAGCTGAGATGATAAGCTGTTCCTGTTAAGTTTTCAAAGAAAAAAAATAACGTAAATTATTCAATTAATTAAAGAATTATATTAAAAATAATGAAATAAATATTTGGAAAAGATTTGCAGTAGTTGATGTCATAGAAGACTGCTCTTACTGACATATAATATTACATTATTAGGGATTTAGTCGTGAGGCAAGTACTCAGCGACTTCTGTGTAAAATTAGCCTGATTGATATTTTATTTTCGCAAAAAATAATTGGGATATTTTTTTAAGCTAAAAGGTATGGTCTTAGAATCTACTAAAAACGGCAATCAAATTTCTGGAGTTTTTGAGTATGCTTCCTTGATTTCGAAATGATGAGGCAAGTGGGTTGAATTCAAGATGCTTGTACAGCATAGCCTCGAATGCTCAGAAAAGGTGACATTTCCCATCATACTTTTGATAAGCGGCCACGAAAATCTGCCTTCAAAAACCTCGTTTTGACTTTGAGTCGAATAGGCACAAAATGTATCGGGAATTTAAAAAATTACCAACCTCGTAAAAATTCATTTTGACCGTTGAATAATGACGTCAACTTTAAGTGATTTGAAATTAGTCCCAGCCAATGAGGGAATTCAAGAACACTTTAAGAAACATAGTACTCGAATAAAAAAAAAAAAGTATTTTGGAAATATATACCAAATGTATTTATAGCATAAAACAACTTGGAAATTAGAAAAACTTAAATATTTAAACAGACAAACCATATCAATATTGTTAAACAAAATACTGACAGAATATACACCCCCGGAAAATTTAATTCCGGTCTCTTGGGAGAAATCGCAAAATTGTAAACAACGACACCTACTGCTAATACTGTAAAGTTCTTCTATGAATTGAGCTCTCTCGGTCATTGACGCGTTCATTCGAAGAATAAGTACGTAAAATCTGTATTACCGGGCACTGATAGCTTAGGCGTAGAATCTCCGACTGATTTGGCATCAGTCGGGTTTCGATCCCGGCTTGAGTCAATCGGATGTCAAGCCCCAGTGATGATCAGTGATACAGCGAAACTGTATCTGTGGATGACTATATATATATATATATATATATATATATATATATATATATATATATATATACAGGGTCTATCAAAAATACGTTTAAAAAACATTCGGGGCCGGGTTGCTCACACCAAAACAAGAAGAAAATTTTATATCACTGTATATCAGCAAATCGTTTTGAGTCAATAAATTTAATTTTTACGGTAGATGCTGTTAAATGTACAATCCAAGATACAATCCAAATATATATATATATATATATATATATATATATATATATATAGAGAGAGAGAGAGAGAGAGAGAGAGAGGGAGAGACAAAAGAAAAAGAGAAATAGATAGATAGTAAGCCGTTGGAAGAAAAATAAATTTTAAAAAACAACAAAAATAACGGTATTGGCAATAAGATTAATACTATTTATTTTATAATTGTCGGCCTCTTGCCTAAATGGAAACATGATCAGAAAAGATGTTAAATATCGAAAGTTTTGGATAAGCCACTGTCCTTTCTAAACAAATAAAAAATAAAATTAGATTTTTGGCCAAGGTATTTTGTTTTCTTCATATGTTATATTACTGATAAATTCTCGAAGGTACTTTACTATCTATCTATCTATCTATCTATCTCTTTCTGTCTATATATATATATATATATATATATATATATATATATATATATATATATATATATAGACATTAAACACCATATCTCTCTTTATATATATGGAGAGAGTCTTTCAATACCATCACTTGATAAGACACGAGAAGTGTTGAAACAAAATGGCTATTTTTGCAGTTATTTAACTAAAACATATTTATGTTATAATTTTTGAATAAATTATATTTTCTCTACTCTGTATTGAGCACTCTTTTAAGAATAGTAGCTTTTTGGTTATTGGAATTTATTCCGTATAAACTAATCCTATACTATATATATATATATATATATATATATATATATTATTTCAAACGTTACTATTGAGGACATGATAGTCTATTTCAGATAAGAAGTGTGCACTATAATAACGTATTTCATAAAAATGTCGCATTGAAATACACACGCACATATGTATGTGTGTGTGTGTGTGTGTGTGTGTGTGTGTGTGTGTGTGTGTGTGATAAAATATATTTTTAATGTATGCTATATTTATGGAGTATTTTGCATGGAGTATTGCTGCCATATATGGTCTGGAGCCCCTTCTGTTTGCCTCGGGGTTCTTGATAGGCTCCAGAGGCGGATATGCAACATAATTAGCCCTGCTCTGGCATCTCGTCTGCAGTCACTTTCTCACAGACGCGCCGTCGCCTCTCTCTGTCTTTTTTACAAATATTTTCATGGCAATTGCTCCGAGGTTCCCAGACTTCCTGAATTCAAGCGCCTTACGAGGCTGGCATCCCGCTCTCACCCCTTCACTGTCAAAACTCCTAAATGTAGCCGTCTCTTCTACTCCAATAGCTTCATCTCTCGCACCTCTCGCCTGTGGAACTCCCTTCCCTATTCCAGTTTCCCTGAGAGCTATAATCTCCAGCTATTCAAATGTAATGTCAATCGACATCTCCAGTTGCCTTGATTTATCCACTATCCTTCTCCTCATCCTTTCCTCTATCACCCCTACCTGATCTTGCTCCAAATGTTCTGTAAACCCTTGCGGCCTAGTGGCTTCTCGCCTTGCTTGGGGTGAAACGCTTAAAATATAAATATATTTGGTATGTTTGATTAGTAATTTGCATTTTGGGCTCATCCTTTTGTTAAAAATCATCTATAATATCTGCTTGCATTTTATGCTTTGTCCTTCGTGTAGGAGCTATTGCAGTTTTCTATCCGGGTCTGCTATCAACACAGTGTCATCTGCATATAAACAATGGGAAAAACAATGCTTTAATCAAAATGACATCCTTTGACTGATCGGTTTGTTTTAATGCTTATCAACACTTTCCAGATTATTTAACGCCAGAATATAGTTTTACAATAATGAATTTACTGATACTAATCAACCCACAACTTGAGTGGGAGAAGAGTTGAATTCATACCTTTCCCAAGAGCATTTGCCCGTAGGTGAATATAACGAAACTGACTGGAATTGGAACTCGGCTCTCCGATTTCCAATTCGGGGCCGTTATTCATTACACCACCCGCACATCCAAGCTGACTGCACCTGGTATTCTTAAGCTGGTCACCAATCTAGGCGAAGACAACGCTCGATCGTGGGAGAAACGGTTTTTCAACGTGATATGGCCGTAAGCAGAACCTTAAATAAAAGGTTTGGGAGGAAAGTGTGATAGCCGTTTATAGACTTGAGGAGCCTGAAAACCTGTTTTAAAAAAACCGTTTCTTTTATGAATTTCAACCAACAAGAATGCTAGCTGTTCGGTTAATGAATACTGAAGTTTCCTGTATGGAAACGGTTAAATTCACCCTGACCATTACCAGTAATTATAAGTACTGTAACCTAAAAAGGTTACTGAATAGAATAATCACACGAAGGTAGGTAACGAACGATAATACTCAGGACAAGAACAACACATATAAGATTTGCCAGAGGCGCGTAGAAGTAGTAGTCAACTGCTATAAGTGAGTCAAGTGAATTCTACAAAGAAGCTCCAACTGCAGGATATGTGCCAACCGCCCAATGCGATCAGATGTAACACAAGGCCGAATTTAATGTGGGGTATCTGAGCCCGTATGCTCCGCCCAATATTCCCCGTAGACCCCGTATAAAACAGGGTCCGGTAGGGTCTACGTCGAAGGACAGAGCCTCGTCTCGGGATCTTCTCTGCCCGGAGGGAGAGAGTTTGACCAGTACAGCCGGAGACGAATCTCCAACGGCAGACCAACATACAGTATTTACTACTGCATTTATGTGAATGGGGACATACTCATTATCTTCCGTAAGTATGCTACAACAATAAGTTTATACAAATTCGGAAGTTAGTTCACTCTCTCGTTCTATCCAATATTTCTCGCCTGAAACTATCTTACATATTTATAAAGTTACAATTTCTCCATTGGACCTGACCTGGCCTCTCGGCTTCAGTCACTTTCCTACCGCCATAATATAGCTTCCTTGTGACTTTTCTGTAAACACTTTCATTGCAATTGTTCTGATGAATTGTTTTCTCTATAGAGCATAAACTTTATTAATTTAAGAACAGTACTAGATTGACGGCAAGATCTCATCATTTTACAGTTTAAATGGTTAGATCTCACCTTAAGTTCTACGTAACAATTTCTTCTTTCATATTGTAGAACTCTCTTCCGGCTTCTTCCTTTCTGGTCAAATTTGATCTTTAAAAATTTAAACGCAATGTCAATCGTTATTTTCTGTCATCTTAATTTCTGTGTTTTTTTTATTATTCTTCATCTTAACAATTTTTTTCTTTTATTATATTCTTTTACACTCAGTCATAGTGGCTTTGTTGCCATGCTTCGGCCGAAATGATTCAAATTCATTAGTTTCTACTTATAACCCCCAAAATGTTCATTAATGGGTTAAAAGCAGATATCTCTATCAAAACTGAAAAAATAAATATTCTAGATGTAACGAAAAAAAAAAATGCTTTAGCAATTTCTCCTCGAGGAAGCGCTTATTGAAAGTAGCTTTTGTTTAACAACTCGCTGTTATTTCTCTATGGAATATCTTCCTGTGTACGGTTTTTCCAGGTTTAAATGATTCCTTTCTTTAAATTTTCTAGTGACAGTTCGCCACGGCCGGAAAACCCCGGAGCACACAAAGTCGAAATCCGGACGTGACCCGTGACAAAATAAATATTCATACGATCGATTTTATACGAGACGATCCGTGCTGGGTCCGCGACCCCTTTCGTCTGAAGTGTTTCTCACGCTCCGATGCGCAAGGAGAAGTCGTAAATTCCGAGTTAATTTTCAATAAGCTTCAACAATCGTTTGATGTCAGATTTCTGTTCGCTGATGAATATTCATGAAGATGGCTGACTTAAACATTTCCAAACAGTATTAATATCGTTGTGGATTAAAGGCAACTGCTTTTCAGAGATTTCGAATATGTTTACAGTGGAGAGTCGGAGGGTAGTAAAAATAGAACTTTAAGTGGGGATATTTTCAGCCCATTTTTAATATATTACGGACACCGTGTTTTAGTGTTTTTTTTTTTCTATTTTGTATACTTAAGTTACCCTGTAATAGCTATATTGTTCGTGTGATGTTTTCATAAATTGAGGGCTCGCTAAAGTGCTTCATTGCTTTCACTTTTTAATAATTAATTTGTGATAATAGTTTTGTTTGTTGACACGAGCTGCAACCCTTACCTAACACGGATGCGTTCACACAAGTTGTCCACTGGGTGTAGCTAAATGGCTCGCTTGTGGCTGCCAGTATTTTGGGAAAAGGTCCCGCAGCTGATCAGTAAGGACAATGAAAGTGCTTTGTTAAGAGTCATTTTATAGGAAATTTTAATAACTTTTTCCTTGTCTCTGACAAGATTTTGGCATAAAAATTGAGAAATTAATGAAATTCACGTTATATACACATATTTGACTAGAAACGTTTGTTGTTGTTTTTTTTTAACTTATTAAACAGGGAAATTAATAACAACTGGCCCAAACTGAGTATCCTTTTTACCGCAGGAACTTATATATATATTTATATATATATATATATATATATATATATATATATATATATATATATATATATATATAAAGTAAACATATAAGTCAACACTTAGAGGCGACAGCCAGTTTCATGCTAGATGCAATCGTCAGACCACGATTTCATGCTAGATACAATCGTGGCCTGACGATTGCATCCAAAATGCAACAGACTGCCGCCTCTATGTTGACTTCTATGTTCACTTTTATATTTACACGCTCTATCTCTGATATTGAGCACTTTATCCCATAAATATAGCACATCTTAAGACTATATTTCTTCATATATATATATATATATATATATATATATATATATATACGCGTATCGTGCGACTTTTGAAAACCTAATTTTGAAGTTAATTTTAAGAGGTCGCACAATGCAAGATGTATGAAATTAGCATATGTACTGCCGAATTTTTTGCTACGCCGTTGACCAAACTATATATCTATTTACTCTTGTCAAAAAATACGGATGTATTTAACATAGACATGATTTTGATAAAACTGAGGATTTACTTGACTGTATCCAATAAAATTGCATGTAATAGTCACATCTTATTATTGTATTATAGAATAAAAACAATGAATATTCATCTTTTACATTGTTTAGTTTATAAGATGTTTATTAGATGCTTACAGGGGTACGCATTTACGCAACCAATATAGCGTTACAAACAGTACTTTTAACCTTTTTTTTTTAACTAGAAGATGGGATAAAGAGGTTAGTCGATTGTAATTTTGTCCTCACCCCTCAAAAAAGAAACTCGGATGATACACGAGATGCAAGATAAAATCATTTATTATAAATGAAAATTCGGAGTCGCACCCGTACGCGAGATCACGCGTTACACGAGTATATAGGGTGTCTATACATACATAGATACATACATACATATATATATACATATATATATATATATATATATATATATATATATATATATATATATATATATACACGTTCGTGTTGTTTTCAAACTAAGTTCGTACTTTCGTCCATGTGT